CCCTGAGAAACCAAAGCTGGCAAACACACAAACAACCCATGTACAGCATAAACACAAATTCAGCAGGAAAACAGAGGTTAAATACAGGATTTTTAACATCCCGTACTCACAGACATAGTTTTGTTCATTGTTTCAGGAGAATTTTGCAGAAAGACTCTGGCATAGCCCATTATTGGCTTTGGAAGAAGCAGACTTCCACTATAGACATCATAAAACCAGACAGCAAAAGCTCAGATGATTTATAATTTCACAGCAACAATCAAAATCAGATTTCATTAATATAAATCACTGCTTTTTTATTTAATATTATTTCTAATAACGTGTTGATTAGAAATAATGTTCCTTGTGAAAGGATGATGAAATTCACGGACTGTCACGTGGATGAAGTTATAAACTTTTCCATAACTACTCATGCAAAATCTGCACAAGTTCAGTGATGGCTAATGTTTGAAGAGGATCCCCAAAGGAGCATGCCAGAATTCTCTCACACAAGACAGAAGAGAACGGGATTGCAGAGCTGAAAGCTGTAGGAAACCAAACAGATGAGTCTTCCTCCATGTGTGAGGGCTACAGCTACATAAAATCCATGTTTCCTTCATTCTTTCCCATTTCAAGTCATGATGTGCTCAGTGCAGGATCTGAGAGTTTAAGTCAATACATCACCCTTTTTATTGATTTTATTTTTAGGCTGCTGTGAAAGGTTGTAATTAAGAGCAAAAAGATTTGATATCATTCAGACTCTTATGCTAAACTTGCAATAATGGCAAGATAGCCTCACTAGAAATAATATTAGACTTTTTTCTAAGCATTTTTAGGATGAGAATTTTAACCACAGAAACACTTGATGTTTAAAATGAGACTTTCTCCCAAGCTGTTATATACAATTATAACCAAGAGATCGCATCTGCAAGGGGAGAAGCAATTTAAGACATTAAAATATCATTTTAGTTTTCAAACATTTCTGTATGCCCCCTTATACAGTACACCTTTTTCACTTCCAACATTGTTATAATAATGGATGTGTACTGAGGTATCTAACAAGCAAACACATGAGAGAAAATATTTACTCAACAGTAGGTGGAAAGTTTTCTCAGCAAGTTTCAAAGACACAGAAAAAGGGATGGGAGTATTTTGCTTTCATGTAAAAGGTCATCCACTGCTCTGTTTCATATCTCACTAGCAGTTTATTTAGCATACCCTTTGTCCCTGAAACAATCATATCTCAAACTAGAAGTTGCTGAAGACACAGTCTGATAAAACGTCAGCCAGACTCGTGCATATCATAGCCAGGCAAGTGAGCCACAGATACCATCAGCTAGAATCTGGACAGGACAGACAAAGAATTCAGAAAATTTAGAGATGAAAAATATGCACATTATCTCATCAGAGCAATCACTTCTGAATTTGGCCACTGAACACTGCTTCCTCAGTCTCTTTGTCCATGCTGGTGTGTTTTCCATGATTTGCCTACTAACACACTGCTCAAGTTCTACCAGATGACAGCTTTTGCATTACTTGCTGAAATACACTGGCTATGACTAAGATTTATTTTTCACATAGAAGAAATGAGTCTCATATATCCTTACCTATCCTTAGTTGTCTGTGCATCTATGCAGGACTTCTCCATTAAAGGAAAGCACTTCTTGTGAGCATAGCTCAGTTGAGGAACAAATAAAGCTGCATGTATGATGTTTCAGGCATTTGATAGCCAAGGAGAATTGCTAGCACAATCTGCATGCAGTATAAGCTTTCTGGTTCAGATGAGTTGCTCCTGTGTGCCTGATTGTCCTTATAAACTGAAGTGCAGTACAATGTAACCTGGCAGAAAAGGACCTAGGGGTAATGGGCAATAGCTGGTTGAACATGATCCAGCAGTGCTCTTGGGTGGCCAAGAAGGCCAGTGGCATCCTGGCTTGTATCTGAAATGTGTTGTCAACAGGATCAATGATGTTTTCGTCTCCTTGTGCTTGGCACCAGTGAGGCTGCACCTCAAATTCTATGTTCACTGTTCACCTTTAGGCCCCTCTCTACAAGAAAGACACCAAGGTCCTGGAGTGTGTCCAAAGGAGGACAAGGAAGCTGGTGAGGGGTCTGGAGCTGGAGGGGTCTTACGATGAGTGACTGATAGAACTGGGATTATTTGGTCTACAGAAGAGGAGGCTCAAGGACAACCTTATAGCTCTCTACAATTCCCAGAAAGGAGGTTGTATTGAGGTGGACATCGGTCTCTTCTCCCAAACAAGAGACAGGACAAGAGGAAATGGCCACTGTCCCTGGAGGTATTAAAAGACTTGTAGATATGGTACTTAGGGACATGGTTCAGTGGTACATTTGGCAGTGCTAGGTTAATGATTGGACCTGATGATCATTAGAGGTCTCTTCCAACCTAAATGATTCTCATTCTATGATTCTAAGATTTGCTTGCCTGTGATGCTGGAGACCCACCCACACCCAGGAGTGCTAGGAGGCCCAGAGTTTTCATACACTGAACAGACCTGCTTCCTGCTGGCCCTGCTCACAGTATGAGGAGGACATGTGAGGGTGGCTGCAAGCTGCAATCCATGTCACAGTGCAGCAGAGCATAAGGCTGTGTGGCATCAAAGCTTCCAGCAGCAAGGGCAACTGTGGAGACAACTGAAACTTCCCAGCAGACCAGGCTCACCTTCCTGCCTCCAGCAAGCCAAAGCCAGAATGCAGCTCTACACCCTAAGAGATTAATCAGTGACCTACACAGAATGCAATTTCTGTTGAATCTCATTGAGTTAAAGCAATCCCATATGACCTGAAAATTTTCAAATTTTTTTTTTATCCTTAATGTTCAGACAGATAATGGAATTACAAAGATGATATTTCAAGTGAAGTAAAACAGCAGACAGAACATACTAAGAACTTCTTTCCTCCCCTGCACTTGTGATACTTGGCTCACACCTGCAAATGGTGAAGAGCAAATCAGATATACAAGTATGCATACTCAGAATTTGCATTTACATTGCCATGCTTCTATTCACAGCTATGGCGATCCTATTCAGGTGGCCAGTTGGATTTTGAGGTGATTCATTATGCACAGAATTCCAGGAACTACCACAGAAAATGGAACATGCATTTTATATATTCAGATATGGGCATGCAATTCCAAAAGTCTGTCTGTATGACCTGCCAGTGTCTGTATGTGTGACTAATAACGCTTACCATTGTACACCCTTATACCTATAAGCCTACAGCTTAAATTGCAGGACTATTCAGGACTTTGAGAAGGCTTGGGGGAAGCACTGCTGGTGCAATCATGTATTTCATTTCCTGCATGCAAAATTGTCTATCTGCAGTGGCAAACAGTAGCCCACAGGCTAAGACTACCAATACTCAGCATTTTTTTGGTAATTTCTATCAGTTATTTTGCAGCCTTTTGTTTGAATAATTACTATGAAGTCTAGGGACATTTGTGTTTCTTATATGTGCCCAGACAGCACAAATGATTTTTCTTTTAAATGCCCACAGTTTGGTTATGTTTCACTTTTGTTTAGAAATGCAGAGTGCTTGTGTTTAGATCAAGAAAGAAGATAGCGAATGTCAAACAAATTTATACCTGAAAGGAAATAAAACAAGTAAGTCAAAATGCTTGTTTAAAAAGTTACAAAATATGACAGCATTAATGGCACTTAAAGCTCTAAGCACTTATAAGATTACCACCATATTTTTCTCAACCTCTTTTCCTAAAATTCTTCTTCATTTTTTTTTTCTTTCTTTTTTGTTTTTTTTTT